GCCGCCCGCCCGGCCCGGGAGGCGCTGCGCTTACGCAACGGAGCCCGCGGCCCCCCGGCTGCCTTCGGCCCGGCCTCCGGGAGCAGGTCCGGCCGGGGGGCGGGCGCAGGCGGAGGCCGCTCAGGGGGGCCGCTCAGCGTCCGGACTCACCTCCTTCTTGACGGCGCGCAGGAGGCGCTGCCGGGTTTCGGCCTCGGCCGGCAGCAGCAGCAGCGAGGCGGGCGCCAGGGCGCGCAGGGCGGACGAGCCCCCGGACGCCGCTCCCGGAGCCCGCCGCCCGGAGCCCGCCGCCGGAGCAGCCGGAGCCGCCGCCATCCTGCTCGCTCGCCCGCCCCTCCGCTGCCCCGGCTGGCTGCTCGGCTGGCCGGCCGCGGGGACGCAGCTGGGAGGCCGGGCGAGGCGATGCAACGCTCCGCCGATACGCGCACCGGGCTCGGCAGGAGGGGGAGGGGGAGGAGGGCGGCTGGAGCCCCTCCCTCTTCCTCGTCGGCCGCCCCGCCCCTGGCCCCGCCCCCTGCACCCCCCCTCCCCCGGACTCGGAGCGGCGCCTGGCAGCGTCTCCCGCTCGGTGCCCGTGGAAGAGGCGAGCGGGGGCTCCACCCCTCCCCTCTTCACAACGGCCCTGCGAGGCTGCTTAGAGGAGAGGGAATCTGTGCCAAGACGGAGCGTTCCTGGGCCATCCCGGCCCCTCACTGGGGGACGCTGAGCCCCGGTTCCCTGAATGGTGCTTTATGGAACGAACTGGGCCCGTTTCTCCCAGGACCTGAAAAGCCGACCTCCCATTGCCGCCCAAGGCTGGAGGGGAAGGGGCTGCCAGGCAGCTCTGCTTTTGGTGCCACGCCTGGGCCAAGCAGCTCCCCCTCCTCTCTCCTCTGCCGGGGTCCAGACAGGTGGAAGGAAGGAAGGGCCCCAGAGTGAACGCCAACCTGACTCTCCAGGTATCTGCAGCCCCTGAGGACACAGCTGAGCAACCTGCCGGGCATATCTGCCCCCCCCCCCAGAGTAGGGGGAAGGAGATGGGGGCTTTCTTGTCCTTCTCAGCCTGAGTTGTCCACCCTCCTCTCCCTTCTTCCAGGCAAATGTGCATCAAGTTGGCCACACCTGTCAAACCCATCGCTTTGCGTGAAGGAAGCCATCCAGGGCTTCCTTGGATTGAAAGGGAGCTTAGCTGGCCCCGGCCTGGGCCCTGGCTGACTGGGGCAGAGCAGTCCGTGGGCGGCCGGGGGCTTCATGCTCAGTGGGATCACGCTCAGCCTAGCAGGGGGAATGAGGTCCTCTTTCCCCCTCCCACCTGCCCTTTTGACTGACACATTCAGAAATGGGAGCTGTCAAAGCTGAAGGGAGAGAGAACATCCAGCTGACAGGTAGCAGAGGAGAAGGGGAGGCGGCTGCCCAGGCGTGGCTGAATGGCCGGCTGCTGCCCAGGCGTGAAAAGGCGCTGTGTGCACCGTAGCGGAGAGCCCTGGGCATCCAAGGAATCGACCCACCTCTCAGTGGGACCTGCCAGTCTAGGGCAGCCAGAGAGCGAGGCCTCCGTCAGCATCTGGTGGAGCAGAGGGAGGGGAAGCTGGCGCCTTGGCCTCCCCTTGGCCCTCAGTCTCCAGAGGATTCAGGCTTCCCAGCAGGGCACAAGGAAGGTCCCCGGTTGGAAAGGCAGCTGCCCCTCTAGGTGTCCTTGCTCATCTAACCCAGCCACTGAGGCCTGCCTGGCAAGGTTGTTGTGCAGGAGAAAAGCGCCTGAAGTCAGCACATGTGGAAGAGCAAATCACCCAGGCCTCCCTCCAGGGGTTGTGGGAGCTGCATCACCAAAGGCCTTTAAGGAGAGACCCAAACGGTGCAGGGCCTCCTGCCAATTACCTCCCTGCAACCTATTAGGTCACACAGATTAGGCCTCCTCCGAGTTCCATCTGCCAGTCAGTGCCGACTGGCAACTACACGGAGGAGGGCCTTCTCTGTGGCTGCTCCGGCCCTTTGGAACGATCTCCCCGTGGAGATTCGCACCCTCACCACCGTCCAGACCTTCCGTACAGCCCTCAAGACCTGGCTATCCTGTCAGGCCTGGGGTTAAAGATTATAGTCCCCACCCGAATGATGAATGAATGTTGCTTTTATTTTAATTATATGTTATTTATATAGGTCATTGTGTGTCTTCCCGCCCTATCTGTTGTAAGCCGCCCTGAGTCCCCCCAGGGAAAAGGGCGGCCTATAAATAAATTTACCATTTACCATTTACCATTTGCCTCCCACTTGAGTTGGACTAGAAGACCTCCAAGGTCTCCCCCAATTCTGTTACTCTGAGAAGGGGGGAGCCAATTCCCCCGCTGGCAACCCCTTCTTCATCCCTGCTGGCCCAGGGCGGGGCCCTCTTCTGGGACGCAGAGGACGCCCAGTTCTGTCCCTGGCAGGGGCTGGGGAGGGTCTCCTGGCTCCCCCATCAGAACTCCGTCTGAGACCAAGGAAGGTGGGGGAGCACAGCATCCCTTCTGCTCAAGCTGTGGGGCTGAAATGGAGCTCCCAAGCTGGGCAGGGCCCACAGCTGCCCCAGCCCCCCCCCCTCTCACCCAGAGGAAGGAAAAGTCACTCACTGATTTCCCCCCCCCCCCCCCGACAGAGGCTGTGCAACTGTGGGTGTGGCCAGACCCAGGCCCTGCTCCACCCCCCTTGTGCCTCTCTTGCTCCCAAAGCCAGGCATGGGTGGGGAGGGGGGCTCCTCCTCTGTCTCCTCCCCCCCCGCCCTTCTCCCTTTGAAGTGAGCAAACCCTTCCTAACGCCTGCTGCACCCACCCTCCTCCTGGGTGCGCCTGCCCTCCGCCAACCTCTTCAGCCCAGACCCTGCTAGGGTGTTGGGGAGGATGTCCGCTTCTCCCACCACCTGCCTTGCCAGGCCGGCTGGCCCTGAGACCCCCCGGGCCAGCCCCCTGCTTGACCAGCGGGACACTTGGAGCAAGAAGGTGGATTTCCTTCTCTCCGTGGTAGGATTTGCCGTCGACCTGGGCAACGTCTGGCGCTTCCCCTACATCTGCTACCAGAACGGAGGGGGTAAGGAGGCGGGTGGCGAGGGGGCAGGGGTTGGGGGCCCAGGTGAACTTCCCACCAAAGGAAACAGCCCCTTATAATTCTGGGCGAGGGTCTCTCCGCTTCTGCTCCTTCCTAGAGACCACCACCTTTTCTGCCTGTGCAATTTGGAAGACTGGACTTTAGAATGGGGAAGAAAGACCCAGGAAAACGGGGGGTCCCGTTGAAATCCTAAACATAAGAGCTTTATTGGAGGAGTTTGGGGCCATTGTAAGAAGGTTCTTCCGTTTCCCTGGAGACTTTCTTGGGTCTAAAATCTCTGTGCAGATACGGATAACATTTCAATCTCAGGATAAGGGAACAAATTTAACTACCGCTAAGGCTCTCTGTCTTTTTTGGGGATGGGGAACTGTCCATGGTATTTATTCTCAGCCTCGCTGAAATGCACGGCACACAGAAATGTGGGTAGCCGATACTCTTTCGCCCCATTGGAAAAATATTGTAAAATCTGAAACATGGCACTGCTTTAATGCAGAACAGCCAAAACGTGGTAAAACTGCAAACCATTTTTACCATTTACTCGTAGCATTATGGACCTAATTTATAACACGAAACTTTAGCAATCTACAAGTTATTGCTTACTTTTTCCCCTCTAGTTCTCTTACATTTGTGCCCTATTTTCCAGCAACTGTACATACACACATATATACACACATACATACATACATACATACATACATACATACATGCAAATGGTCATAGGAAAACTACTTAAAAGGGGAATATGAATAAATAAAGAAAAGTTAATCAAGGGAGAAACAAACGAATAAGATTGAATCTGTCTCCAAATTGTTTGTTTTTTTTTAATTGTGGAAAAGCTTAAGAAAAGGGACCAAATGCCTTTCTTAAACAAGGGAGGGAGGAAAAGTCTGCTTTGCAATTTCCAGATCTCCTCTGGGATTTGCTCCGGGTGCCGTTTGGAGCCCATTTTATTCCAGGCAGAGAATCATCCTGGGGAGGAAAGGCAGGTGTATTGCACAGCCTGGAGATCTGCATATTTCCAAATGTCTTCCCAGGACACTGGTGCCTCTTCACCTTTCTCTCGGCTGTGTGGGATTTTCAGTTTGTCTTATTAATTTAGCTCGCACCAGTTGCCTGTTTTACTTGCACCCGCTGGCTACGCTGTAACAATCTGTGCATTGATTGTCCATGTTTCTAGACCACATGAATGCAGAGAAATCAGAGGACAGTCTGCATCCCTTCAACTGTGGCCAAGCGGCTGCTGGGGAGGGGGGGGGCTTTAAAGAAAGGGGGAGGGGTTGGGAGGAACTGGTGGGGAGCAAACCATGCCCCCCTCCCTTGCCACTCCTTTAAAACATCTAGGAGGAATTCGTTATGCCATCACCGGGAGAAGCAAGGCAGCTTCATGAAGCCTCTGAATGGGACCATTAACTGAACCTGCCTTTCCAAGAGAGATGGGGGGGGGGGCGGTTTGAGCCTGCTGGTCAGCTCTTTCCCCAGGCCAGAGGGGGGGGAGAGAGGAGGAGAGCAGCTGAGGCCCCTGAACCCTCATCCTCCGCCCCCCCCCCTTGGCTGTCCCAGGAGCCTTCCTCATCCCCTACATGCTGATGGCCGTCTTCGGAGGGGTGCCCCTTTTCTACATGGAGCTGGCTCTGGGGCAATTCCATCGGGTCGGAGCCATACCCATCTGGAAGAACATCTGTCCCATCTTCAAAGGTAACCAGCCATCCAAACTGCAGAGGTTCTCCCAAAGGGGGGGGAGGGGCGGCTGCACATCTGTCCAAAAGTTTAGGATCCCTCGAGGGAGGGGGGCCCGGAGGAGGAAGCCAGGGTTTCAAGCCCCCCCCTGCCTCCACTCTTAGGCGAGAGGCAGCTGAAATGCTTTTCCAGGACAGGACAAGGGAAGAGGTGCTGGGGGGGGGGGGAAGCCGAGGTCAGGCGGCCTTTGGGTTTCAGCTTCCACCAGGCCCCTGGGAATGAGGGTCTGGGGGCCACCTCTGCCTGCCTGTCTCCTCCTCCTCCTGCAGGCATTGGCTTCGCCATCTGCGTTATCAACCTCTACGTGGCCTTCTACTACAACACCATCATTGCTTGGGCCCTCTTCTACTTCTGCTCCTCCTTCGCCCGCCCCCTGCCCTGGGCCAGCTGCAGCAACCCCTGGAACACCCCCAGCTGCCTCAGCTACTTTGAGGCTGGCAACGTCTC